ATCAAAATCAAGAATCTATTCGTAGATCATTCTAGAATGCGATTTCCTAATTTGGTATATTCCCAGACTGTAATAATAAATTTCCGTCTTGCTTATCGTAATACTTCTTTATCGTCAAACACTCTGCATTTAACAATGGAACCAATCGTCTTTGCTGAAGTATTGCCTAATGTTCGGTCTATGACCATGAACGTTGGATTACCTACGGAAAAAAAAAGTTCGTCTCTCAAGCTCGGAATATATCCCTTAAGAATTAGTATAGAGCATAAAAATAAATCAACTGCACAAAGTCTGCAGACTATATTAAACCTTTCACAAACTATTGAAACTGATGATAAACCAGTTATTATTACTTCACAGGATAGCTTAGATATCAGATTAAAATTGAGAAGTTATGTTCGTAAGAAACCAGCAAACCAGCCGAGTGTCAAGGATATACTTCCGCCCTTTTCAGCAAGTGAACTAACAAAGCTTAAAAACATCCAATGTGTTTATTGTAAGATACCATTACTTAAGACGAACACGCTTTCTAAAATAATGAATATGCCTTCAGAACATTGGCTGGAATTAGTAGATTGTTGGATGTGTCATCAAGAAGATTATCAACAAGCACGAATGGGTGACATAATTGTTAGAGAAAATATTGGGTTGGTTGGCAATACATATTTCTTGATTCATCCTAAAGATGTTAAAAGTGATGCTGTTGAAATCGAAGAAAGATTGGCACAAGTGGATGTATGAAATTTATTATATAATATTTATATATATTTGATTTTATTATATAATAATTGGACTTAAAGAAGGCTAAGATCTAAAGAAATTGATAATTAGTCGATACTAAAGTCCTATAATAAGTGAAAAAATTATATAATTTTCGCACCTTCGAGAATTCGATATGCGTGTACTAGTATTGTGACGCGTATTATTACGTTGGAGCACATATCACGTTTATTAGCTCATGAATAATTTATTTATTATTTTTATCTTTTCTATTAGTGGTCCAAAGGTCTTTCAAAAAAATGGAGGCCACTAAATTGTACTAGATGTTTGTGTCCTATCGGAGAAGGATTATATCAAAGGACCAAAAAGACGGAGGAAGAGAATGACGCGTCAGGTACGCGTTATCCGTTTATTTCAAACCATTATTAGACTTAAAAAAAGCAAAAAAGAAGCTAACATAATAAAATGATGCATTTCCAAGAATTATCTTTACTAGCAATTAAGTTTAGTAAACAGGCAGTTTTTGTTGAGTTAGAAAGTGATACTAATGAGTAAGCTGCTTGCAATTGTGAGGTACAAATTGTACAGATGATAATAAATTAGTAAATTGCTATTTATCCATATAGATCAATTACACAGAGATATCCTTTTAGCGCATTTATAGCTGCCGACCTTTTTGAGGCGGCAAAAGCGCATGCTACTTATCGCTTTATAATTGGACAAAATTCGAATCAAACTTACGCTTTAGTAAGAACTTCATGTTAACTTTTATGATAAGTACATTACATATGGCAAATGATGATGAAATATTATATTGTAGATTTGGTTATTCGGTTGGGACACAAAGGTCATAACGAATGCTTTGCAAGACGAAATACAATGTTGTAAATTCTCTCCAAGTGTAGTGAAATTTTGTATCGCTGTTAAAAACGATTTAAAACCTTATAATGGTAAGTGTTTTTTATGAGAATGCGAATTTGATAAATTCTTAAATTTTAAATTGGTTTTCATTGTTCTTTTTCCTTCTTGAAGTTATTAAATTATTGTACATAGATTGCACATCCCAAAGTAATGACAAATCTTCTGGGTTAGTTTTCAAAATTTTTCCTTTTGGTTGAAATACCAAAACATTGACAATATTATTATTTTTTTTTTTTAATTGCCTTGAAGCCTTCTTGAGCAATGGCAAAAAGATAAAACCGTTGAACACCTTGTGTACCATAACGATATTTGCTTACAAATATTACTAATGCTGAAAATAAGCACTTGTTGTTTACCATTTAGTAAAAGAATTATGAATGGTTTTTCCGTTGGATTTATTGATATACATGGCTGTTAGCAAACCTCAGGAATGTTATAAAAATAATTAATTGCTTTGTATCGATATGTAAACATACATGGTTATGTTAAATAAAGTATATATAATTTACATATAAAAGTAATAATAAAAAGAAGAAACGAAAATCCATATTTTATAATTTTGGTTTAGGGGTTGCCAGATTACCTATATAAAAGCCTTTTAACATCTCTCTAGCCTTTGTGGAATGGATTTCATTAAATTCATCTGTGGCATCTTTCCCAGCATTGATAAGTATAGCAGAAGTACCACCAGGGTGTTTTTTCAAGAATTCAGTACAATTATAAACTTGTTTATTTATTACAATCCAGCAATCTTTTTCATTATTATGTTTAGCAACCTCATTAATAGTAAAGGTAGGAATTTCACTATCGATAGTAGAAACACCTGGAGGTTTCGCGGTTATTAATTTTGGAGGAGGTTTAATCATCCAGCCACCAGCTTGATTTCCAGGTTGTGTTGGATGTTCAAATACTAAACGGAATTCATTTCCTTGAGCAATTGTATTAACTTTTACACGAAAATGACAGTTATTCATCATTCCCATTACATTCCAAGTTGGATTTCTAGGTTGAGTATTTTGAGTAGAATCCCAAGCTCTAACAGAAATTTCTTCACATCGAATGAAAGAATGAAATGGTATAATTAAGGACCAAAAACTCCAACACCAATATCTAGGAATTGGATTTACTCCTCTCTTAAGAACAACGGGATGATCAAGTTCAGGCTGATCTAATTTAGAAAGAAGCCAAGTTTTACCATTATCTAAAGAGACTTCAACACGTGTAATCTTATGACCACCTCCAGTATAAGCATAACCTTTGAGAGCATACGTTTGATTATTAAAAAAGCTTGACAATGGAATACATTCATTATGTGCCGGAGAAGTTAAAGTAGATTTAGATTGCAAATTGATTTATAAGTAGCGTTGTTAAATAATATTGTCTATACAGGTGGCATTGT